GTCAGTCAGTCAGTCAGTCCTGAACCATGTCCACCTGTCAGTCCTAAACCATGTCTACCAGTCAGTCTGTCCTGAACTAGGTTCATGAGCCGGTCAACAAAAAACGATCTTCATCAGAAAGTTTGAGGATTCGGATTGTGATGAACAGATCTATGCAGATATTTAATAATTGAGCAGATTAATAATCGTCATCATCATGATTAACACACATTCATCAATAAATCATCATCATTAAATCATTGTTAAATCATAATGAATAATCTTTCATCATGTCCTCTACCACTGAATTCGTGATGTGTTCAGGTGGATTTCATTGACTCTTCAGGGGCTCGTTTAACACACACACACACATCATCAGTACAGAATCGTCAAATTTGAAACGTGAAGTTTTATGTTTGATTCAATTAGGAAGCAAACAAATCTGCCAAAAACACGAAGAGCAACAGCAACACGAGTGGCGGGAAAGATGGTGCCTCAGACAACGCAGATGAGGTGAGCGACAAGTTTAACACACTACACGCATGGTCAGTGTCACCTGTTCAGAGCTGTCACACAGAAACATCTGCACGGTAGAGTGAAACAGAGCTGCTGATCACACACACACAGACAATACATGAATGAAACTGAAAAATCTCTGACAATGTTTGTCTCTAAATGTATAAGATCTAGCGTCTCTGAGAAATGATGATGTCATCATAATGACAACATAATATTGTATGAAAAAATGATGTCACAACATCCTCACCATGACCTTAGCAGCTATAACTTCCTGTCTCTGATTTAAGAATGAAGGTGGAGGGCGGGTCCTTCCTGAGTGCTCATTGGTTGGTTTCTGACACATTATCCACCTGTCAGTCACAGTGTTTACTTATGTTTGTTTACATCAGTAAACACCTGACCTGTAAGGTCATGACTGATGTTCCAAGAAGTAGTGTTTGTTGTTGTCGAGCTAATCAAAAGTCAGGTTTAAACCTGGATACGATGGTTCACTTCCGACCTGTGAAAATAGCCACTGTAACCGATACTTAACCAGATAACATAGTGTCGAAAAAGCTCTGCCCACTGACCAATCAGATCTTTCATTGTGACCGCCGGTGTTTGGTAACATGTTGTAAACCTTCATGTGACCATGTGCTCTGTTACTCGTGACATCTATAACACTTCTGTTCTGGAGACAGATCTTCATATGTGACTTTCAGGTTTCTATGGTTCTTTTCCTATTGTCTTGGTTTCCACAATTTCCACTATGCATCACTGAGGCCAAGTTTAACACACCTGTGTGTGTGTGTGTGTGTGTGTGTGTGTGTG